AGGTTCTTGTACTTTATTGAAAACATGAATCGATAGAGCATGTGGAGGATCCCTTGAACATTTTGACATATTTTGCTCCTCAGGACTTGTACGTAAGCATATGGTTATGGCCTAAAGGTAATAATTAGTCAAACTGTCCAGAGGATCTCTCTGCTTCCATTATATGGTACACTCATTAAACTACAAAAACTTGTGGGAATTCAGTTACTGTATATTTTTCTGTGGATTTTTTGCAAATCTTCAGACATTAGTATTGATAGTAAAGATCAGCTTTCACTACTAATTCAAAAAGCTTCACAAGCGGACATGATTTAGGTTTGGCAGAATTGATCATGACAAATACTCAAGTAATGAAAACAATAAGCAGTGTATTGTGGTACAATGAAAATGGAAAAAAAAAGTTAAGCTAGAATAACCAAACCGTTACTATAGCTGAAAATTATATTCTTTCTCAAATCAGAAATTGTTGCTTAAATTTTGAGATTTTAACGTGTTGGTTGAATTAATCCACACTCTATTACAGGACAGCTTGACTCGTTACTCTGAGGAAGCATTCACTCTAGTTCTTCCCTCAGAACAGTAGCAATAATACAATTAACGAATAGTCCAGCAAAAACCTTCTTATCACATTTACTCTTTTATAGTGTGCCCACAGCTTCAATAAATGCCTTTGTCCAATATATACCATTATTAGTAGAGTCACCATCTAGAATGTATGCTAATCTGGTTCTGGTGATAAATAACAATACAGACATATACTACAAGTTCAGCTGGTTCCATTTGAGAAGCATTTTTATAAATATTGTCATCAAAATAATGAATTTTAGAAACACCACCTTTAATAAGCTCAGGGCATCTTCAAAATATGATTACCTGGGGTAAATTGTTTTCAGGAGAAAAGACAGTATAGAAGATAAGTGGAATATCTTTGATGTTACAGTGGTACAATTATCAAGCTTTAAACCCTGACTAGAGGGAAAAACTAGGGTAGTAGAAAGAATTCAAAAATATGTAAATAAAATTTTAAAGGAACACCATGGGGCCAGGAACACAAACATGTATTCCTAACCCTATAGTGTTAAAACTACCATCTGGCCCTCCCTAAATATAGTAAAATCCTACTTGTATTCAAGTCTGCAGCTGCTATCTCTGCCCTTGATCTGCCTGCATGCCTGGCGTCATAAGTGATTATGTGAGCCAATCACAATGCTTTCCCATAACATAGGCTGTGACTGTCAAGGAGGCAGATCAGGGTCAGAGCCAGCACAAGTAAAACACAGCCCTGGCCAATCAGCATCTCATCATAGAGATCAATTGAATAAATACATCTCTATGAGGAAAGTTCAGTGTCTGCATGCAGAGGGTGGAGACACTGAATGGCAGTACTGCCCCATGTGGAGTTATCACTAGGCTGTAATGTAAACACTGCATTTTCTCTGAAAAGAAAGTGTTTACTGCAAAAGGCCTGAAAGGAATGATTATACCCACCAAAACAATAAGCTGTAGTATTTCTGGTGGCTATAATGTCCCTTTAAATATGTAAGTCAGGTTATGTCTATCTACAAGACTGACCAAACATGTTATAGTGAAGCTCAGCTCGCAGGCCCAACACATTTTAACTTTTGAACATTTTAGCCCATCTTCCATACCTCCTGTTGTACAGTGGGATGAGAGAAAATAATACAATGGCTTCCATGTAGCACACTTACCTAACTTTAACTTTCAAACATTCCTGTTCTGTGGTTGCTCTTGAGACAAGATGAGGGAGGATGAAAGTGAGGCTCCAGGTCATTACAGAAGATGTTGACCCAACCACCTTTTTATTTATTTTATTATCACCATTTATATAGCGCCAACAGATTCCTTGCTCCTCTTTACCCAGCAAGAAGTCAAATTGTAATCTCATACAGTTACTATCATAAATGACTTGTCTTTCACACTGCACCTTAAATGGATCCTATAGTGCCAGGAAAACAAACCTGTTTTCCTGGCACTATAGGCTCTTGGAGAGCACCCCTCCATCGGCGCTGAAGGGGTTAAAACCCCTTCAGCCACTTACCTTAATCCAGTGCCGGGCTCCCTCAGCGCTGGTGACCAGGGCCGGTGCAAGGATTTTTGCCGCCCTAGGCAAATGTAAAGTTTGTCGCCCTCCCCCCCATGTGACATCACAATGCCCCACCCATATGCTCTGCCATGTTAACTAACGCCAGTGCTGCAGTGCCGCCGTGTTTACATTAAAAGGCCTGCAGGGACAGGCTATAGACACCAGAACCACTGCATTAAGCTGCAGTGGTTCTGGGGATTATAGTGTTTCTTTAATGTGAGGTAAATTAGAGATTAGCGACACGAATAATATACTAGATTGCCTACTTACAACCAGATGAGGATGACGATGGGCTCTAGCTGCAGTCTGGCTCCACTGGTCTGGTGTAGAACAGGCTCTCTGGAGGCGGTTTGTAGCTGTGGTCACAAAAATCAATGTTCTGGGAGAACGGGAAGCAGCTCCATTTTTTGGGGGCCCTTTACACAGCTCAAGGTCTGGGTCCCAGGGTCCACCTTCATGTTCCACCAATGAGTTTGTTCACAGGGGGTGGAGTGTGTAGGGGATGTCCTGATATGTGTGTAAGGAATGCATTGTGTGTTTCTGTGTATGTACAGGATGCAGTGTGTGCGTCTGTAAGGGATGCATTGAGTGTGTGTAAGGATGCATTGAGTGTGTGTAAGGCAGGGCCGGACTGGGAAAAAAATTAGGCCCAGGCATTTTTCAATCAGAGCGGCCCCCTAAGAAGGGGGCGGGGCCAGAGAGTGTGTGTTTTGTCATCACTAATGACAACACGCCCCCTCTCAAAGTGAGAATGTTGGTTCAATGCCCAGAGCCCTGCTGAAGAGCTCTGGCATTAGAAAAAGGCCCTGAATTTGTTCTGCGCAGCGCAAGCAAATTTAATAACATGCTTGCGCTGTGTTTGCTTTTAAATTGTCTCTGGTGTCTCCACAAGTGGGATACCAGAGGACAGAAGGGCCAGGAAAGTGCATTGTGCATATGTTTGGAGCCTGCTTGTGAGATTGCGTGTGTGTAGAGTGTGGTGTGGTATTGTATAAATAGGTCAATTTAATTTGTGTTTGTGGTGTAATATGTGTGGCTAGGGGCTGTGGAGAGTGTGTGTATAGGGGGCATAGTTTTATAGGGGATGCAGCGAGTGTGTGCATACGGGCTGAAGTGTGTGTGTATAGGTGACGTAGTGTGTGTAGGGGTTGCAGAGAGGGTGTGTTTAGAGAATGTTGTATGTGTTTGCTGACAAGGAATGTAGTGTGTGCAGGCCCGGACTGGCCATCGGGCACACCGGGCAAATGCCCGGTGGGCCGCGGTGGCCGTGGGGCCGAGGCCGGCAGGGAGATCAGAGGATCTCTCCTGTCGGTCTTTGCAGGGCCAGCGCTATCTGAACGCCGGCCCTGCAGTAGTCTACAGCGAGCCGGTGGGGAGATCAGAGATCTCCCTCACCGGCCCACATAGAGAATACTGCGGCAGCCGGGGGAGAGAGGGAGGGAGCCAGCCTGCCAGCAGAGGAACC